CATAATATGGGAAGTGGCTCTAGCCTATGATTTGTCAAAACCTAGAGACAAGTCATGTACAAAATACACTAAAAAAAACACAAGGAGCAACATGAAATAAAAGCTCATTCAAAAAATAGAATGGAATAAGGAATTTCATCAAGTGGAGAAGAAATCATTCTATTGATAAGAAAACAAATTGTAAGAATGACATCACCTCCAATAATCAGCAAGTATACTAGCACCAAGTAATAAGGCACATGTAGTTTCAACCAAGTATACAATCAGTAATAGCCTTGTAAAACTCACGGTCCTTAAGCCACCAAACTTACTTCCTTTTCCTAAAGTAAGTTTCCTTTTCATATTTGCCTTGGGAGTCTCCTCTAAACTTGCATCTTTGGCAGATTTTGTACAAGACCTCGGAGTAGAAACTATTTCTTTGTCCACATTCATAGCAAATGACTTTTCTACAACGAGGAAATCCTGATGCGAATAAATCTCCTAACTCAGGCATGAGCTATGGTATTATATGTGTTGGAGAATATACTACTTTAGCTTATTCCAATCCCATTAAAAAGAAAGAGGATGTTGATTGTTCCAACCACTCTAAAGGTTTGAATATATCTAGTCATGAGGTGAGGTGGGTCGTGATTTCGACACCAAAAAAGGTTGACAATAGTAAACAAAAGGCAGGAAAAGCTACCAAGAGACCACGAAAGAAATCAAGCTCTTCTACACTTGAATATAATTATTTCCCTTCAAACACAGCACCTAAGAAGCCTTCCATTTTCCAGATTCTTCCATAACATGGACATAACCCAAATGGATACAATAACACTCATTTCACATACATTCATCAACATAATAATTATTATTAATTAAACCACATCACATCATGCAAACAACTTCATACATATTCGTAAGAACAGGACAACCCCCAATACGATGGACACATTGCACACAAGTAGGGAAGAACAGGCTAATCAATTAATTGAGGTTGCGTTCTAAAACAAAGAACTTACCTCGCACTCTAGAACACCAATTTGATGGAAGCCTTTGTACACCGCGAGCTTTCAACACAACATGTTGTCTCCAGCTTCACCGTAACGACCTCCTACCGCGACCACAAATCAACACCCCTACCGCTGTAACAGCCTTACACCCACAACCACAAACCACCACCCCAACCGCAACACCAACAACTCCTTGAAGAACCCTAGCCACACAATGCCACTGGATAGAAGGGAAAGGGAGAGGGAGAGAAATGTGAAACAGAAGCGAGAGGGAGAGAATGGGAAGCAAAATGGGGAGCACGACGTGAAGTCGATAGAGGTAGAGGGTAGAGTTTTGTCTTTCTAAATTGGAGACGATCTCCTACAATACCCCCAATTACTTAGTTTGAGGGGCCGAGCCTCTTACCGAAGGCCATAAATCCCTCGGTAATGCTCTTTTGGCCTTCAGTAATTATATTTCACCATGGCCATCTGTAATACTCATTTTGGCTATTGAGAACACATTTTTACCGACGGTCCATAAGCCTTCGGTACATGTACTACATGAATGACCATGAACAATCAGAATTACAATTAAAACAAATTTAGGCATAAAAATTGAGCCAAACAGGGATTGTAATTCATAGAGAAACTACTTGATAAGATTATTCAATGGTTACAAAGGAAAATTTCAGGAAAATGGTACTAAAAGTCAAAGTTGATACATATTTAGAGAGGGGATTGAATTGACGCGTATGAGAAAAGGAAGAAACAATGAAAATGGAGAAAGAAAGTAATAAATAGCTGCAAAGAAATTAGAGAGATGATTTTAGTTTGGTTATTGACCGAGTTAAAGCTGAAGGATGGAAATGAAGGTGTGAAGAAGGAACCAACATGACTTGGAAAAGGTGCAGTCAACAACTCTAGTTTTTCTCATGGTCATCAGGTCAACAACTGATTTCATAAAAATAAATCAAGGTCTGAAAATCCAAACCTTAAATACATGGGAAAGTACATGAACCTAACTTTTGAGTTTGAAATAAAGTTAGACCGAATTCTTTCTTAATTCTAATAAAAATTGGTTTAAATATAGACATTATACTGGCATAGAAAGCGAAAGGGATGGAACTTATTATTACAGAAAGAGGAAAAACAGAGCTTATATAAAACTTTGTATAGCAGATTTATCAATCTCGAATTCATAAATTTCAGGTATGCAAAAGTCACTACAATGCGTACATCTATTGCAAAGGTAAACACACGGCAACAACATTCATAAATACAAAATTGACAATCCTGTCAAGAAGAAACTCGTGAATATGGAAAGGTAGATGCTAAGCTAGATCATCTCTAGAAATGAAAAAGCTGAATAATAAATCAAAATATAGCAAAATTCCCTAAATCTGGAAAAATTAAAAAACCTAACTTCTAGAAATGGAAATGAACTGAATTAACCTATAAAACTAAAATCATACATGTTGAAGATGCTTCGTGCAAGTTTATTAACCTAAAACAAGGAAAGACAATGAATTTAAACATCAAGAATAATGTAGAATTGAGAAACTGTAAAGCTGAACCAAGAACAACTATATTAATTATAAAAGAATTGTATACGTATGATAAAAAATGAAAGAACAATGGTTTGAATCGAAGAAAACAGAATAAAATATCAGAATTGGTGAAAATAGAGCAGAATTTGAATATTCTAAAAAACTCATCCTTGTTCATGTTACTTTCAGTTTTGATTGAACAATATAGCATATGCCCACAATTGCAGCAAGACAAGGCAGAGTATCTTTCTTTTGTCTTAAAAATGTATTTTATTTTTTAGTATTCATTTCGTAACTACTCAAATAGTAGTTTCTCCTTTCCACATCTTACATTTTCTAACCTCTCAATTGTTTCACTCATATGTGATCTCTTTTCCTTATGCAACTTTCTTCAAGTCAGGTGATGTTCATCAATCTTTTTCTTTCTTTTCTTCACACAATGGACTCCTTACACCTTAACTTGCCGTCTCTATTCAGTCTTTCTTTTTTCTGAAATCATAGTCTTGTACTCACTCACTTTTTGGGACCATTAGTGACACTGTCAAACTGTGTATTTACTAATTTTTGTCCCTTTTGTGCGAAGATACAGATCTTTTCCGAAAGGACTTCCGTTTTCCTCCACCCAGCGAGGGAAAACCTTGGGAGTAGGTGCTGAAGTGGGAGGGGTGGAAAAAGGCTAGGCTCCGGAGCTATCTTTAACTGAGACTGACTAAATATACCAGCTAAATTTCGTGATTTCTAGTAATTTTTTTTTCTAATAATTTTTTCATGGCTTCTGCATGTTTCTTCTTTGATGGAAGCTGCAACCTTGCATGTACTTTTCTTCGTTGGAAATAATACAAGATTTGACAGTTTAAGCAATTAGTATGTATTAAATGCGATCATTAAGCTCTTTATCTCAAATTTTGTATATATAGTTTTGGGTTAACGACAACCTAATTACGACTTAATTAGTGGTGATTATACTTTGTCACAAGTTAATCAACATTAGATATAATTGCTCTGGAAGATGATTATTTGGTTTGTGGGTCATAATTATTCCATTGCAATTGTGATTGTTCTCCTGACATACTTAATTACAGTAGATCATTCGATCTAATGTTAATTAGACGCTCATGCGATATTCTTATCTTAAAGAGATCTTTAAGTGGTTACATGTGCATACTTCTTACATTATATATTAGATTATTAATCTTTTAAATTAATATATAATATAATTTGATTATTAATTTTTTGAATAGGGTAAAATTGTTAATACAATTATTATTATCTTTTAAAATAATGTTAAATAAAAGTAATAATTAAAACATTGGTAAAAATTTATAAAAAATAATTATTGAAAACTCTTTGAAAATTTAAAATTTTTAAAAAAAAAGATTTTAAACAATTTTTAGTAATTTCAAAATTTTAAATAATAATAAAATATGATATATTTTGTGTAAGTTTATAATTATTAAAATATGATAAAATATAAAAAATAAAAGTGAATTTTGTAGCGGTTTTTAATTACTAGTATTATTTTTGGTTTTTCTAACAATAGTATTAGTGATTAAATTTTGTTTTTCTTTTTGACGTGTGTAATTCTAACTATTATTTTAATAGTAAAAATGTTTATTTGTGATTATTTTTAATTGTTAAAACTTGTAATTACAATCTTCACAAATATATTTTCTTTTATACTTTCTTTAATATTAACTAATCCCATGAAATTAAATTAAATTTTAACTATTCAGATTAAATTACACTTTGAATTTAAAAGTATTAATACTAAAAAAAAATGCATTACCCATACCATAAAATTATTTTCCGTGCATCAAACGTACGCTATCCTACCTAAGTGCATTTAAATCTTGATATTTTAATCAAATTCTGTCTTTTAATTATAAATTAAAATAATCATTATTAATCAAATATAATCTTTTAATTAAAAAATAAATGTAATCATTACTAATCATGTTTAGTCCCTTAATTTAAAAAATTAATATAATCATTAGTACATATAAGTAAATATTAAGTACAAATTCAAATAGTTACTGAATAACAGTATATCAACATTCTTAAATAAAAGAAAATTGATTATTAAATTTACATTTAAATAAATTTTAGTCTTTAATATAAGATTGAGTTTTACTTTAAACAACTATTTTTTTCAAATAGACATTTAATAAATTAAATATTTTTATTTGTATTTCTTGTGTTATCTAGATCAGTTCTATTTTGCGTGTTTAAGTCTAGGATAAACATGTTTCCCAACATCTTTCGCAATATATGTCATATAGAACAAAAAAAAATATAAAGACATGTTATGATAAAAAAGGTAAAGGATTAAAAGACAAATAAAAATATTTCAAAAACACGACACAATGTAATATTAAAGAAAACATACAAACAAATATATTTTTCAAGGAGTTAAATTTATTTTAATAATCTATTATTTAATTCAGTTACAAAAATAATATTAAAAACTTAAAATTTGTTTAAGCTTTACCATTATTGCATTTAATTGAGAGCTTAAAATAAAAGTGAAAGACAGACTTTAAGTTTATAGTAAATACATTTGCTATACCAGACCTTATTCTAAACCTAATCATCAATAAAGAGATAGAGGGTTAATAATTATAGTGTTGAAACAGGAAAAGTAGTTCATACACCATTAAAGTATCCGAGACATAAATACTTTTCGAATGTGAGCAATCTTTCCCCTGTCTTTGCCTCGTTTATGGCAACGCTGTTCCAGCAAAGAACACTCCCGTATTTCAAGAAATGAAATTGATTTGGGAAGACCCTCCTCTGGTAAGCATTGGAGGTTGGGACATTTCCAAAGATTCAGTCTTCTAAGAGATGAGAGTTCTAAGAGACCCTTATAGTTCAGTTTTTTTAGATTTCGACAATCAGATATTATTAGAAAGGAAAGAGAGAGTGGAAGCAAACCTTCATCAGGAAAACATTCTGCATCTGGTGTTGATATCCCCAGCCTTTCCAATGAAGAACTGTCTCCCAAAGCTCCCTTCAGTAAGCCAACAAGTCTAAAGCAATTATAGAGTGTTATGTACTTTAGATTTGATGGCAAACTTCCCTCAGGGAATGACGCAAGTCTTGGACAGTCTTCTATCCATAGCCTCGTGAGAGATGGGAGCAGCATATGCATGTTTGCAGGCAATGATTCAAATTTAGGGCACTCTTTGATTTCCAGATACTGGAGATGATTGTGAACTTGATCCTGTGAAATCATCAGTAGATTAGGAAACCTACTGAGTTTAAGGCTCTTGAGTGTCGGGAAGAAATCCAATGGAAAGATCCTTAGATAGACATAGTCATCACTTTTTGACTCCAGAGCTGAAGAAATGGATAAGTTTTCAAGAGAAGTGTCGAATAGCATATGTCCAACAATTGCCACCAATGATGCTGCCATGCCGTGCTCATCCAGCTTTCCACAGTCTTCTAGACGTAATTCCACCGCACTGACAATCAAAGCTTCAAGTTGTTGGCAGTGAATCACACTTAGAGTTTTTAAAGCAACGAACTTTGGCAGGTATCCTTTCAGCTTCGGACAATTTTCTATGGAAAAAAGTTGTAGACGTGGAAAAGCACCTGTCACAGCTTGGCAGTCCCACTTCTCCCATTGTCTCATATTAGAGAAATACAATGTTTGAAGGGATTTAAATGAACAAGAGTCGTTCCCATGAAAATCAGCATCAATACTCACTATTTCATCAAACCCTGAAATCTCCAATTTCTTTAGAAATGGCAAAAGTCCAAGCGGAGGTAAACGTTGGCAAGATTCACATTCCTCCAACACTAAGGACACCAGATTCGGTAATGAATTATGGAGTAACCAATTTGGAAATTGTTTACCAATATAGTTCTTTATCGACAACTTCTTCAAGTATTTTGAAGGTCGTAGATTCTCAATTACGCTTCCGACTTTTGCTGGATCAACAGAGGAGCTGCCAATGAAATTCCATTTTAACCGTAGGTCCACAAGGTGTGGTTTGTTCTTCAAATCTACTTCTAATGCATAAGAGGGATTCTCAATATTCTGCAGATCATCAAGTGTTAGACTTCCATGAAGACTGAGTTCTCGCAAATGCTTAATACTGAATTCCTTACCTTTCTCAATGTAAAAGGAACTCATCAATACTTGGAGATTCTTCAACTTTCCCAAATGAGCTGGTACATTTTTCACTGCTGTTTTTATAAATTCAAGGCAACGTAAATTGTCGAGTTGATGTAAATATAAGGGAAGCTGCTTTAATCTTTGACAATAGTTCAACTGCAATATTTGCAACTTGTAGAGTAAACTTATTGAGTCAGGTAGTTTTTCTATATCAGTATAGGATAGATCTAATGAACGGAGATGCTTAAGATTTCCTACAGATTCAGGCACCTCCCTAAGGTTACGATAATGAGACAAAGATAAGACACGTATGAACTTAAATTTGGAGAACAAGTCAACTATCGACATCTTGCAATTCCAATCCCAACCCCAATCTCTTGGGGTAAATGTATGCAACTTTTGAGTGTCAATGGAACTCCCAAACCCATCAAAACATAATTTAGAGGTTGAAAATGAACAATGACGGGTTGTTTTGGGTATACCTTTTGGTTCATCAACTCCTAACCTGATGCATATGTCCTCACAGACGTATTTTGCCAAATCATTTAGAAGGTCATGCATGATAAAACGCTTTTTCTCTTCGTTGCTTGACCGTTGAAAGAAGGACCAAGATAATAGATCATTGAAATATTCATCACCAACTTCTTTAGGACTCTTTTTCTGTAAAGGGTTTTCTAGAAAATTTTGAGCCATCCACAATTGAATTAAATACTCCTTGTCAAACCGATAACCTCTGGGAAATAAGGCACAAAAAGCAAAGCATTTCTTCAAATGAGAAGGAAGGTGGAAATAGCTCAGTTTTAAAGCAGGGAGTATATCACTTTCATTTTCTGAAAGATGCCATATCTCACTTTTCATAATACTTTCCCATTCCCAAAGAGATGATTTATTGTGTAACAGACTTCCCATAGTTTTTAAGGCTAAAGGAAGTCCATTACATTTTTCAACTATCTTCTTACCAATCTCTATGAAGTCTGGATCTGGTTGCGGATTAGCATTTTCGAATGCATGCTTTGCGAACAAGTTCCAACAATAATCTTCTTTTAATACCTGCAGCAGGTGCTTCTCTGATCGCATGGTAATAGCAACCTTCTCACTCCGTGTAGTGACAAGAAGCCTACTGCCTTGACCTCCGAAAACTAGGGTCTTCTGCACATCTTCCCATTTAGATGGTCTTTCGTTCCAAACATCATCCAAAACGAGAAGAAATTTCTTCCCCATAAGTTCTTCTTTCAGTCTTTTCTGAATTACTTCCTGATGTATACTGTGATCAGCTGAACCTGTTATTGTGTCAAGAATTGCTCTTGATAATTTCAGTACATCAAATTTCTGTGGAACACTGACCCAAACTTTAGTATCAAATTTACCTTCAAGCCTTGGGTCATTGAACACATGTTGAACAAGAGAGGTCTTACCCATCCCACCCATGCCCACAATAGAAAGTATAGATAAGTTGTTATGAGTGTCCGATGTGAGCCAGTTAAACACAAATTCTTTGTCATCATCTCTGCCATAGATAACACTTTCATTTGGCAAAGATGTATATGTTATATTACTACCCGATCCTGATCCAACCACAGCACCACCACACTTTTCCAAACCTAGAATATAGCTTTCGTTTGCAAGATCTTCTAGGTCCTCAATGACTTGTTCCATCCTGGATTCAATTTCTATTTCAAAGAAACTGACAAAAGAAGAATTNAACTAATTTGATTAATTGGACATGTTATTTAATTTTGGCCAGCAGAACAACTTTGCTGTTAGTTTTTTAACGCCGTAAGGAAAAAGGATCCACTTAAACTGTTTTTGCGAGAAGTAGGATGTTAGTGAACTTTTGAAAAAAAGGAGGACAACTTTGAACAGACCCTACAAAAAGAGGGACCAAAATAGGTATTAAACCAAATAAATAATAAGTATATTCAAAATTAAAATTAGTTTGTGCATGAACTTCTGTTATTAGCTTATTTAGAATTTGATTTTTAAGTAAACAAATATTAACTTTTGGAAATGCTTACTGCATTTATTTCCTGTGTGTTGTTTTTATTTACGGAAAAATTTATGCAAATAGCCGACAATATATCTTCCTTAAACATGAATCAACAATTTGATGAGGAATCAAACAGCATATCTATGTTTCGATAATGCAAAATTTTAAAATATATTAAAAACTTCTTTAATATTGTAACATCAATATATTTTGTAGATTAGCACAAATATAACATAAAAAATTTACCAAAATCCAAATTCAAGATTTTGTTCTTACTTATATCAAATACGTATGGTAATCATTATACGTTTTTCATTTTTTTTTAAAATAAATAAATTTGAGGTAACAAAATAAAGATACGATTAAAAAAACAATTTATTGATAGTTTGAGATCTGATTATCTCATTAATGTAGATTTTTCGTAATATATGTTTCTTATAGGCTCCCATGATCTTAAAAGTCCAACATAAAACCATATTCAGATTTCTCTCTGTTTCTTTCTGAATCAGCTATTTCTTTCATATATCGAAACGCAGACTACAACTTAAAATATACACTATACATTGAACTTTACAAGCCCTATACTTTTACATTATTGACATATATATCCACTATAGTTGAAGGCTAGAAGCATGATCATTAATGCACCATTGCTTCCTTTTATTAATTGAGTTCTGCATGTACTTTCAAATCTTAAATTGGTTGTTCAATTTATTTGTTCTATTTCATTCACTGTAATTCAATTTCATGCTTGCAAATATCTACATGTTTCAAATTGTTAACATTCACCAAATGGATTTGATGGATTGCATTGTAGAAAATAATTTGCTATTAAAATAATTGAGTTTGTTATATAGTTACTTAATTTTATATATTATTCAATTATTTACTATGTCTAATTTTATGATAGAGAACAAAGGACGATATAATGACTTAGTAATTTTAGACTTTGTTCATGTTTCTTTTATGAATGTTCCTGTTTTCATTATTTGATATTAAAATTGCAGACTTTGTTTTTTATTTCTTTAATGAATGTTATATATGCAAATTATAAATATAAAAAATTTAAAATTTTTGTCTTCTATAAATTTTCATTTATCACAGGATTTATGTATTATTTAAAAAAAAATGCAACAAACATAATGGGTTTTGAAAGTTGATGAAAAAATATTGAAAGCCGATTTTTGACATAATAGAGGTTTTAAGCTACTGGAAATACAAGGAAATGAGGTTCTATAAACTCCAGAGAAGTAATTGGGGTTTCAAATTGAAAATATAATCATTCAATTAAAAAATAAATATAATCGTTACTAATTAAGTCTAGTCTCTTAATTGAAAATTAATATAATCATTAGTACATATAAGTAAATATTAAGTAAAATTTCAAATAGTTACCGAATAACATTTATATCAACATTCTTAAATATAAAAAATGATAATTAAATTTGCATTTAAATAAGTTTTAGTCTTTAATATAAGATTGATTTTTACTTTAAACTATTAAATAGATATTTAATAAATTAAATAATTTTATTCATCTAGATCAGTTCTATTTTGCATGTTTAAGTCTTGCATAAACATGTTATCACAAAATCTAGATTCTTGAAGAATCACATACACTAAATCACTTCTATTATTATATGCCATTATAGAAAAAAAAAACATATAGATGTTATGATAAAAATCAGGTAAAGAATTAAAAATCAAATATAAATATTTCAAAAATATGTCTAAAGACACAATGTAATGTTGAAGAAAAAAAATAAAAACAAGTATATTTTTCAAGGAGTTAAATTTATTTTAATAATTTATTATGTATTTCATTTACAAAAAATAATATTAGAAACTTAAAACTTATTTAAGCTTTACCATTATTGCATTTAATTGAGTATTTAAAATAAAACTGATAGGCAGACTTTAAGTTTAAAGTAAATACATTTGTTATACCAGAATTTATTCTAAACCTAATCATCAATAAAGAGATAAAGGCTTAATAATTATAGTGTTAAATTTTTTTTATGGAGTTATAATTTGTTAGATGACCGGACTACCAAAAGACGAAAAATAGTTCATACACCACTATTAAAGTATCCGTACCATTAAACAAAATTAAACAAAAGAAACAACTTCACTACCATATAAATATGTATCGAATGTGAGCAATCTTTTTCCTGTCTTCGCCTCCTTCATGGTAACGCTGTTTCAGCAAAGGACAGTCGTGTATATGAAGAGATGAAATTGATTTGGGAAGACCCTCCTCTGGTAAGCATTGGAGGTTGGGACAGTGCCAAAGACGCAGTGTTCGAAGAGATGAGAGTTCTAAGAGAGCCTTGTAGTTCAGTTTGTTTAGATTTGGACAATCAGATATTATTAAAGAGGAAAGAGAGAGTGGAAGCAAACCTTCATCAGGAAAACATTCCGCCTCTACTTTTTCAATCCTTAAACTTTCCAACGAAGAACTGTCTCCGAAAACTCTTTTCAGTGAGCCAACAAGTCTAAAGCAATTAATGAGTTGGATGTCCATTAGATTTGATGGCAAACCTCCTTCAGGGAACAACTCAAGTCTTGGACAGTCTTTGATTGTCAGATCCTGGAGATGATTGTGAACATGATCCTGTGAGATTATCTGTAGATCAGGAAACCCACCGAGTTTAAGGGTCCTGAGTGTTGGGAAAAAATCCAGTGGAAAGATCTTTAGAGAGACACAGTCATGACTTTTTGACTCCAGAGCTGAACCAATGTACAAGATTTCAAGAGAAGTGTCGAATAACATATGTCCAACAGTTGCCACCAATGATGCTGCCATGCCGTGCCCATCCGTTGTGAGCTTTTTCATTGTAGACCGCTCCAACTGCAGCTTTCCACACTCTTCTAGACGTAATTCTATCACACTCACAATCAGAACTTCGAGTTGTTCGCAGTTAAAGACATATAGAGATTTTAAAGCAACGAACTTTGGCAGGTGTCCTTTCAGCTTGGGACAATTTTGTATCCATAGACGTTGTAAACGTGGAAAAGCACCTGTCACAGCTTGGCATTCCCACTTTTCCCATTGCCTCATATCATACAAATACAATTCTTGAAGGGATTTAAATGAAGAAGAGTTGTTCCCATGAAAATCAGCATCGATACTCACTATCTCATTAAACCCTGAAAGGCTCAAGTAATTGAGAAATGGCAAAAGTCCAAGCGGAGGTAACCGTTGGCAAGATTCACATCCCTTCAACACTAAGGACACCAGATTCGGTAATGAATTATCGAGTAACCAATTTGGAAATTGTTTACCAATATAGTTACTTATTGACAACTCCTTCAAGTATTTTGAAGGTCGTAGATTTTCAATTACATCCTCAGCTTTTTCTGAATCAACAGAGGAGCTGCCAATGAAATTCCATACTAACCGTAGGTCTACAAGGTGTGGTTTGTTCTTCAAATCTACTTTCATTGTATCAGAGGGATTCTCAATATTCTGCAGATCATCAATTGTTAGGCTTCCATGAAGATTGAGTTCTCCTAATTGCTGAATATTCATTTCCTTACTTTTCTCAACATGAAATGAACTCATCGACACTTGAACATTCTTCAGCTTTCCCAAATATGCTACCACATTTTTCACTCCAATAGCTACTAATTCAAGACAACGTAAATTGTCAAGTTGATGTAAACATGAAGGAAGCTCCTTTAATCTATGACAATAGTTCAGCTTCAGTGTTTGCAACTTGTAGAGTGAACTTATTGAATCGGGTAGTTTTTCTATTTCAGTCCAGGATAGATCTATTGAACGAAGATGAATAAGATTTCCAATAGATTGAGGCACCTCTGTAAGGTTACGACAATGATTCAAAGATATCACACGAATGAACTTAAATCTGGAGAACAAGTCATCTATCGACATCTTGCAATCCCAAACCCAACCCTCATCTGTTGGCTTAAATGTATGCAACTTTTGAGTATCAATCGAACTCCCAAACCCATCAAAACATAATTTAGAGGATGAAAATGAACAATGACGGGTTGTTTTGGGTATACCTTTTGGTTCATCAACTCCTAACCTGATGCATATGTCCTCACAGACGTATTTTGCCAAATCATTTAGAAGGTCATGCATGATAAAACGCTTTTTCTCTTCGTTGCTTGACCGTTGAAAGAAGGACCAAGATAATAGATCATTGAAATATTCATCACCAACTTCTTTAGGACTCTTTTTCTGTAAAGGGTTTTCTAGAAAATTTTGAGCCATCCACAATTGAATTAAATACTCCTTGTCAAACCGATAACCTCTGGGAAATAAGGCACAAAAAGCAAAGCATTTCTTCAAATGAGAAGGAAGGTGGAAATAGCTCAGTTTTAAAGCAGGGAGTATATCACTTTCATTTTCTGAAAGATGCCATATCTCACTTTTCATAATACTTTCCCATTCCCAAAGAGATGATTTATTGTGTAACAGACTTCCCATAGTTTTTAAGGCTAAAGGAAGTCCATTACATTTTTCAACTATCTTCTTACCAATCTCTATGAAGTCTGGATCTGGTTGCGGATTAGCATTTTCGAATGCATGCTTTGCGAACAAGTTCCAACAATAATCTTCTTTTAATACCTGCAGCAGGTGCTTCTCTGATCGCATGGTAATAGCAACCTTCTCACTCCGTGTAGTGACAAGAAGCCTACTGCCTTGACCTCCGAAAACTAGGGTCTTCTGCACATCTTCCCATTTAGATGGTCTTTCGTTCCAAACATCATCCAAAACGAGAAGAAATTTCTTCCCCATAAGTTCTTCTTTCAGTCTTTTCTGAATTACTTCCTGATGTATACTGTGATCAGCTGAACCTGTTATTGTGTCAAGAATTGCTCTTGATAATTTCAGTACATCAAATTTCTGTGGAACACTGACCCAAACTTTAGTATCAAATTTACCTTCAAGCCTTGGGTCATTGAACACATGTTGAACAAGAGAGGTCTTACCCATCCCACCCATGCCCACAATAGAAAGTATAGATAAGTTGTTATGAGTGTCCGATGTGAGCCAGTTAAACNAAGGGCCGACCTGTTAACTTTGGTGCAATCAACAACCCAGAAGAATGTCGATGGATGAAAACACTATCAGTATCACCAGAACCCGGGGCACACCATAGAAGATTGTGCAACACTCAAGGATAAATTGAAGGGTTGGTAAGAACAGGACACTTGAAGAAGTACATGCAGGAGGAGCAACGGAGGGATCCCCCGAGGAGAAATAGCTGCCAGCCGAGGATGGATGACCGGCATCATGAAGATTGGCGCAGTCGGAGTAGGAGTGGTGAACGACCCTTGAGGGGTCATATTAATACAATCTAAGGTGGTTTCACTGGAGGTGGTTCGACTTCGTTAGCACGAAACAGACACTTGAGAGTGTTAGAATTAAAGAGCCTTGTTTCTCAACCCCAAGAGGGGGTGAATTGATGATATATAAAAACTAACGCTTTTCAAATCTTTTTGCACAACTAGAGTGATCTTTAAACTTTCTTGCAATGTAAGTAAAAGCGTATGCAGTTTAAAGTAAAAGGGATAGGGAAAGAAGAACAAGCACAAGGTTTTTATCCTGGTTCAGCCTCAATGACTACATCCAGTCACCCTTCCAATCAACGTTAGATTGAAGGATATTTCACTATAATGATTTGAGAATGATACCAAAAGTTTTACGGAGAACACACTCTCATAATGTAAACACCTTTCTCACTCACAATCAAATATAGAATCAATACACCTGCACAAATAAACACCCTTCCTTGCTGCATAACCCCTTTGAGACCACTTCTCAAAGTATCAAGAGTTTCTCACTCTTTTTCCTGTTGCACACGACCAGGACAAGCACATTCCCACGATTGCAGAGAACGAATTTGATCAATGCAAAAATACACCTCACTTGTGAAAAATTTGATCAGCAACTTAAGTCCAGCGTTAGTCTTCAAAAAAACCTTCAATATGTATAAACTTTAAAATAAAAATTAAAAAAAACACACACACATATAGATACCCTAAACCGTAATATGTAAATCTTAAACTAAATTCTAAACAAAAACACATAAAATAAATAAAATTAAAAAAAAAACTAAACCATAAGCACGTAAGAATAAATTACAAGAAAATTTTAAGGTTTAATCCTTTACTACATCCCTATTTACGTACGAATTTCTCAATTGGGTCCTCGTTTTTTAAAGTGTATCAAAANGAATTCCACACCTTTTTAGTAACACTCTGAGACTCAGCTTCCGCCTGGCTTTTGGAGAGTTCATAATCCATCTCATCCAAGATATCTTCTGCATCAAAGACAACATCTTTGGTCTTGAGAAGCCAATTTCTGACGCGTGGATCTGTGAACTGCTTTTGTTCTGCATCAAGAGCCACAACATCAATGGCAAGGAGCTTCATCTTCAAGTTGCTGAGTTGCTTCTTGTGCTTTCTTTGAGGAAATATGTAGAGAAGACGGGAAGCCAAAGTATCGATAGTCCTCTCGAGGAAAGTAGAAACAAGAGCACCGGTAACCATTTCTGCTGCCATGATAAGAATAGGGAAGAGAGGGGATGAATGAAACTGACTAATTGGATGTGAAGCTTATGCCTTTGACTTGTGCAGTGATATCTAATTCACATTAAAATAATATTTTTTTCCTTGATCGCTAGTCAATCCATAATATTGGTCAATATCAGTGGCTAACTAATCAATAAATAAACACTTATAATGTAAGGTTGCGTGTATATTTGAAAACACCGTATTGTACCGAACAAAAAGAAATTGATTTAGCAGTAAAATATCACGAGTTCAACTCATTTCATATATAATTAGATTTTAACAAAGCGTGAAGCAGCAATACAGTAGTATATTAAAGTATGAGACAGTTAGATTTTAACAAAGCATGAGGGTGCGTTCCGCGTTCCTAAACGTTGTCGTTGTGATGGGCCTCATTGCTCTGATTACCTTCCCCTCGTCCTCCTTTACTACTATAACTGCAACGCCTTTCTCTGCCACTTGACGAGCTTCTCTTCCTTTTTTGTCCTCGCTTCCATAGGCGGATCCATCCTCCTCTCCCTACTCCAGTATAACACCGATTATACTGGTTTACAAAAATCGAATATTTAAATTTTTTTTAAAACACATTAAACATTTAAACATGCATAATTTATTTAAAACATAATAGTTTTAAAATATTTGTCAATTACATTATTTTTAAATAACAAAAGTAAGGAAAGAAATAAAACAAATCAAATTATATTGTCTTAATTTTAAACAAAATAACTTTAAGTAAAAATCTCAAGTTTATTCTTCGTCATCTCTCGATTTTATCATGTCTTAGCAACATCTATAACATTATCTACTCACGTTATAAAATAATGTATGGAGTAAGCTACCGATAAAACAATCATAATAACAAGATATAAGCATACATATTATATCAACTATAAACAACTCCCTCATACACAATAGTAATAATAATAGGGTTCCTAATCCTCTAACATAACAATTCAATCATAATAAATTACTCGATTCTCGATCTACGATCATCCACTATAGCGGCGACGATGATAGAGCAGCGACCCTATAACGGCGGCGATGATAGAGCGCTTGGATGCAACGGAGTAGTTTTCGTGTAAGAGGAAGAAGAACAGTGCAACAGTAGGGTAACTTCCTTCGCGGGAGTGAAAATATATACCACGGTTGGTCCCTATTTTCGTCAACTTTGTTCGATGTGGGACTCAGTTTTTTGAATGTTCAATGTAGTCTCTTATATCGTAATTTATGTTCAATTTTGTCCTTTTGGCTAATGACGTTTAAATCGTTAATGACAAATTGTCCTTTCGCAAACATATCACGCATTGGTCGCATCGCTGTTCCAAACGCTCCGCCACAAGCATCGCAAAACCGAATCGCGAGTTCCTCACGCCTTTGAGCAACGTCGTCGTGAAACTTCTTCATTCTCTACCAGCCACCATTAACCTAAAACACAGGAGATCAAAACTCAGAGAATAAAAAATCTCCTTCAAACCAAAAGCACAATTCATGCCGCAAAGCAAATAGCCACCAACATCATCACCAACCTCTCGCGAGCAAAACCTAAATCGTAAAAACACAAAGTCGAATCACGAAACCATCTTCAACCGTCGCAACGATGCCTCTCTGTAAGCTTCTTCATCGCGCCTTCTTCATTCACCTGCAGGAGAAACACCTAGAAGCAAACCAGCAATCACGAAGTTCACCATATCTGCCGTGAAGGAGAAACCCTATTCTCGCGTAACGACACTAGAGCAAGCTTTTCTCGGATCTGCAAATGCAAATCTAAAACCCTAATTTTTTGAGGTGTGCAAACCTTGTGGAGGGTGTCCTAACCCTATGGATGAATTTGTTGAGGTGTCGCAACCTCGTGGAGGGTGTACCAACCCTACGGATGAAGTGAAGTAAGGTGTCACAACCTCGTGGAGGGTGTCCTAACCCTATGGATGAATTTGTTGAGGTGTTGCAACCTCATGAAGGATGTACCAACCCTATGGATGAAGTAAAGTGAGGTGTCGCAACCTCGTGGACGGGGTTATAACCTATCGATGAACTGAGAGTGAGGTGGTCGCAAAGTCGTGGAAGGTGTCATAACCCTATGGATGAAGTTGAAGTGAAGTGTCGCAACCTCATGAAGGGTGTCCATAACCCTATGGATGAATGAAGTGAGTTGTCGCAACCTCGTGAGGGTGTCATAACCCTATGGATGAATGAAGTTGAGGTGTGACAACCTCGTGGTTTGTCAAACCCTATGGATGAAGGTGAAGTGAGGTGTCGCAACTCGTGAGGGTGTGTAACCCTATGGATGAAGGAAGTGAGGTGTGTATGCGTGGAGGGTTGTCCTAACCCTTATGGATGAATTTGTTGAGATGTCGCAACCTCGTGGGGAGAGTTGTCATAACTTATGGATGAAGGAGTGGATGTGACAACCTCGTGGAGGGTGTCGTAACCCGTTTATACACATTTCTAGATCAATGGAGGTGATTGGGGGAGACGGCTGTGAAATATTTCATCATTCAATTGTGGTGAATGTAAGATAGTCAATTGGTCTTTCATATTACTTTTCATTTAGATTTGTTCGAGTTTCTAACAACTTAAACTGTGTTGTTTTAGGTACATGGACACCAATCGTTTGTAGCCAAGGTCGGTCTTCCATGTCGGATTTGGTGAACCTCGGACCATCAAACCGTCTGGTAACACACTTCAAAACAGACAACATTATTTGCAAATATGGAGGATGAGTCAAAAAGAGACGTATACCTGTGCCCCATACATTTGAGGGGTAGGGGTGTTAAATGTGGTCCGTTAGATATAGTTGCCTTTAATTAGTTAAATAACTATTTGTCCTTCGTGATAGGTCGCACGTCGCACTGGCAGCATGGGTCATTCATTCCCCCAAAAACAATTTAAAATATTGGTTTTGTTCGTTGCACAGGAAGATGAAAAAATTGACTGAGAACCATGCTTCAAGGGTAAGTGTTATCCAAAAATGACTTTGAATTGTGTTCAAATTCACTTTATGATAAATATAGTCATATTAATTATACTTTGTGTTTTCAATCTGTACAGAGTTATTGGTAAATCTCGTGGTCAACTGGTTCAAATTTTGTATCCGAAGGTTGTAAGTCATTTATAGTTCTAATTCATTTTCTATGTTATTGAATGATCTAAATTCTTAACTATTTAGTTTGTCATTTTAGTGTACCAGCAGTGTGTTGATTTAAGACCATCATTCGAGCTGTAATTACATATGAGGAAGAAGGTAAAATGATGTATACCTGAATTACATTACAATCAAAATTCCTCTTCAACATAAATGCAACCATAATGGAATCTTTCTTGAATTTTGCCAGTGCTTCAAGAGTAACATCTCCTATACCAGAGGACACAATTAGGCAGATAAGGCAGGAGTGGACAGCTTATCTTCTGCAAAGATGGAGTTAGGAATAGTTTTATTTCTTGTTGAACATTGCTTAGTTTTAGTTTAAGTTTAATCTTGATAGTTTTGTAGTGATTATTTTTTACTTAAGTCAACTTTCTATATGAAATGCAATATACAGTATTACTAGATTGTTTCTTGGACAATTTCTGCTTTTCAGGTGTGATTTTCTTGCAAAAATAAATTAATTTTTTTTCAAAAAAAACCCAGTAGGACGTCTGTTAGTGCACTATCGGACGTAGTAGAAGTTCTGCCAGTGCACAAAACCATTTCAGCAGATGGTCGTCGGGGGATGACACATGGACGTCTGTTAGACGTCAGGGGGAGGAAGGGAGGCGTCGGACGTTTGTGGAGACGTCCGAGGAAGAGGCGTCGGAACGTTACAGAGGCGTCAGGGCTGACCATCGGACGTCTATATACACGCAGATGTCGGGACCCCCGACGTCTGAGGAACGTCACCCACAAAAGACGTCGGGGGAGGTAGGACGTCAAAAGGCCAAAAGAACGGACGTCTTAAAGCCCTTTCTAACACTAGTGAGTAGAGGGCGGACATACTGCTTGGTTCAAGGGAACCGAGGCATAAAGTCCTACGAAGAAAAAATTAAAAAAACCAAAAACTTTACTGCTTCGGGTAAGGCTGAACCGAGACCAAATCCTTTCATTTTATGCCTCGGTTCTTAACCGAGGCCAAAAGTATTAGATTAGGACTTTGCCTCGCTCTGAAGATGCTCGGTGCAAAAAACGGCTGGCGATAGGAAAAATAACCGCTGTCGTTTCCCTGAATGTACTAGTGTAACAACGATTCCAGCTTATATACCCCATTATTAGTTTAGTAGTATAAGAAAAAAAAGTGGTGAAGAGTGGTGATGAAATAAACAAAAAACATATAAACAAGTATAACAAGAACAAGAACGAACGTAAATGCAAAAGAACATGGATTAAAAGAAAGCTTTTAAAGGAAAGAAGGAACAAAATGAAAGATTGAGAGGATGAAACACTTACACGGATGTAAAAAACAAAAGGCACACTTAGAGAGGAGGCTCCTCACAAAATTAGGACACTCTCGAAGGACACTCAAGGAGGGCAAACTCACGCTCCCTCTTGAAACTCAAGTGTCGCTCAACATGGAGGATACTCTATTTATAGCCAAACATTTTCCTGTAGCAACAGTTTCGGTTGTTGCTACAGTTTGTGTCACAGTGTCGGTTATTTAAAAAAAGTAATAATAATAATATAAGTATACTTGAGGAGTATGGGAAATTATTGGATAAATTTCTTATGTATGGTATTTTGATTTGTGAAAGGGCTAGATGTTTGTTATATTTTTTTTAAAAAAAAATGCTCTGGTATTTGTATGTAGAGTAATTAGTATAAATTGAATTGACTAGTATCATATGTAGAGTAATTAGTATAAATTGAATTGACTAGGTAAACCATAAAGGAAGTTAACAGTGATATACAGTACATCTGATATATATAAAACTCATAGTTGACTATGTGAATAATTATTTGAAGAATCAAAAAAAAAAAATCATTACCATTAATCATTAGTACTAACACTTAACTCTTAGAAGTGGTAATGACTTGAAACTAAATAAAATAAATTAATATATATTTATAATATATATATACATATATATATATAATATATATACACACACATATATATAGACACA